GACTTCGTGATTTTTTTTTTTTTTTCCCTAGCGCAGTTGATTAATAAAGCGGAAAGCCTTCTTTATGGGAGGGCTTCCTTCCACCGTGTTCCCGTGTCCTCTTGCAGTCGTAACCCCCGGTCCAGGCGGCCGGCGATCAAGCCGAAATCGCATGCAGCGAAATCATATTTTGTAATGAACAGAAAGTGCGATGCGAAACTTCCAAGTGTAAATGATCTGGTCGGGTACGAGTGTGGTTTGTGCGTGCGGCTTTCGGGGGGCGGGGGGCATCAGGGTGGCATTAAAAAGGGAAAAAAAATCGCCCCGCTTTAGAAAATGTATCAGTTTTGCCAGTTGCCACGTATTGTCAAGGAGGTCTAAGATTTTCAATCTTTGTGAAAAATAAAAAAAATAAAAATAAAAAAAGGTCGCTCGAAAAGTCCTTTTATTCGTCCGGGTAAATACAGGTAGAAGCAGAGCATCATTTGCGCAGAAGTTCCCTTTTTCTACTACACTCCTTCCCCGGTCAACGTACTAATTGTAATTTTAATAAAATTAGTACAAACTCCAGGTCTTTTAAAAAACTCCAGGGCTGCCTCTGTGGTAAGATGGCGCCTCTCTAAGACCTGCCTCTTCTTAGTGATGAGGAAAAGGCCATAAATCCGTTGTTGTTTATGAAAATTTACAACTTTGCAATACAACTTTATGAGTTGTTCGGTTTTTCCATTGGTCGTTGTCGGTCATGTGGATGGTAACCGTGAACATGAACTTTTTTATAATTTCCCTTGCGAGAATAGAGCCGCATTCTTTTGCTGAGCTCTGTCCTGCTTCGGATCTCTCTCTGGCTTTCAATCCCCATTTCATTTGTTCTTTGTAAGGCAATAGTGAACAAAGTGTGCGGAGGTTCGGCATAAGCAGCCGCCTAGAACACAGATCCGGGATGGCAATTTCCAGTTCCCCCGCTGGAAGGTGTGGCATATTGGATTCAAAGCACTGGCGTGGCAGATTTTCAACTTGCAACCTGGCTAATTTCCTGCTTCTTCTGGCACCAAAAGGAGGGCGATTCGTCTCCTGTGCAGCCAAAGCGACAGCTGTCAAAGTCGCAGGGGCTCCTGTGAGCCAGAACCTAAAAGGTGAGAAATGTATATGACACTACCGTAAGCAGGGAAACATGGTTTAATACGTTTAAATATTAGACATGTGCAATTAAACCAAATGGAAATGTTACCGGCCAGAATTAGAGGTGGCTGCAGCTCAGCTGATTTCGACTTAACCAGTGCATGCAAAAATATGCCTAAATAAAATGTCTTAATTTCTATTATTTAGCAAAGAAGCCGCGGATTTTTTTTTTTTTTTTTTTTTTTTCACGGAGTTTATTTCTATTTGCCAGGGGGTTGCTGAGACATTAAGCTTATTTTCTAAGAATTCAGGTTTACAGCATCAATCCGAGGGGATTTTTTTTTTTTCCAGCGCAAGGAAAAAAAAAAAATTAACATCCCCCCCACCATTTTAAATTTTTTAAATTATTATTTCGCAGCATTGACTCAAAGTTCAATTGCGGCATCTGGAATTTAGACGTGATTTATTTTTTGCTATTCCAGAAAAAAAAACAAAACAAAACAACCCACCAGTCAGCACAATGTCTCCTGGCTCCCCTGGATTGTCCAGGAGGATGGTTATTTCGAGACGGGTTTTTTT